TATATATATATATATATATATATATATATATATATATATATATATATATATATATATATATATATATATATATATATATATATATATATATATATATATATATATATATTTTATATAGATTTAATATAAATAAATATATTACGTAATGTAAATATTTATTAAAAATTGCTTAAAGTATTTAGACATTTAATTACAAATTATTTAAAACAATAACTACAAATTTTAAATTTACTAAAGTATAGTTAATAAATGTTTAAAATCTTTAAACAATTTTCAATAATTATTTACAAAGAGCGGTGTTAAATTCTTAAATAAAAGTTTTCTTATAGTTACTAAAGCAACATGGTTACGTTCACCGGTAAATTCATATATTTAAAGAAATCTTTAAATCAACTTCTTATCTTCAGATAAAACAAGATAGACAATAATGATTAAAATGATGATTAAAAAAATAATGTGTGAAAATCATAGTCATGCCACCAGTTTTAACAAAGGGAGAAAGGGGGGCAGTAATTTAAAGAACATCACCCCCTTTACCCCCTCCCTAACGTTGCCAAAAAAAAAGCAGTATCTCCAAACAAACTCTGGGTTTGTCACTGTTCTAATATATGAACAAATATAACTAATAAAACTAACATTGTCTAAATAAATTCAATCATTGTCTAAATAAATAAATTCACATTCTTTTTAGATTATTTTGCTTTAATTAAATTAAGTTTTGCTTCTGTAGCTGAATATTTTATAAAAGTAATTTTATAAAGTTTTATAAAATTACTTTTATATAACTTACTTTTATATAAAATAACTTCAAACAAAAAATCAAACAATAGTAATATAATTAAAACAATAGAATTTTTCTAATGTAGATGAATATTTTGATTACTTCCATATTTTGATTAAAAAGTTAGTTTTATAAAAATCAAACTTTATTTTTTATTTTATCTGAATTTATTATATTTGTAAATAATGAGCATAATTTATTGGCTTACAATTTAAACTTTTGTCCCAATAGTTTGCAGTTTTTAAAATATTAACTACTTCATTTAAATACTGCTAAATAAAAAGTAACTACTTCATTAAAATACCACTTAAAAATATTTTGAAATATTCTTAAGCAGTATTTATTATCAAAGAAAAAAAATTTTAGAGTAACATAAACAGCGTAGCATAACGTATAATGCTCTTTACCTGACAAGTTATTGCAAGGCCTGATATATATATATATATATATATATATATATATATATATATATATATATATATATATATATATATATATATATATATACATATATATATATATATATATATATATATATATATATATATATATATATATATATATATATATACACAAACATATATATGTATATGTATACATATATATATATATATATATATATATATATATATATATATATATATATATATATATATATATATATATATATATATATATATATATATATATATATATATATATATATATATATGTATATATGGTAGTCACAAAGTTTTTCCTATAAACTGTTGTTTTAAAGAGCACGTTAATAAACCTGACCAGAAAATATTAAAAAACTTCAAAAAATTTTTTTTTTAATGATAGACTGCCTGCCCAAACCAAACCCTCAGTCAATGTAGCAGCACTCCCTTGCGAGTCAGGTTACTTGTCAGTCGATGTAGCAGCACTCCCTCGCGAGTCAGGCTATTTGTCAGTTGATGTAGCAGCACTTCCTTGCGAGTTAGGCTATTTGTCAGTTGATGTAGCAGCACTCTGTTGCGAGTCAGGCTATAAGATAGTTGATGTTGCAACACTCCCTTGTAGCAGCAGGTTATAAAATAGTCGATGTAGCAACACTTACGCATGTTTTAAAAATGTATCTTAATAAAACAAAAACAAAAACA